TGATTTTTTTTTATTTATTGTCAGGCCTGCTTCTTTCAGGCGCTGATATATTTTCTCTAGGAGCTCAATATGTTCTGAGAAAGTGTTACTAATGCAAATTATATCATCTTGAAAAGCAAATACCTTATTATTGAATTCTGGGCCAAATAATTTATCCATTAAGCGTTGCATGGTTGCTGACGCCCCTACTAACCCAAAACACATCACATTAAATTGAAATAAGCCTCTACGAGGAACTGTGAAAGCTGTCTTTTCAGCAGATGCTGCAGAGTCATAAGGAATCTGCCAATATGCGGCACTAAGGTCAATTGAGGTTAAATATTTAGCGTTGTTAAGATGATCTAATATTTGGTTAATATAAGGCAAGGGATAAGCGTCTGGTTTTGTGACGTAATTAAGTTTTCGAGAGTCTAAGCATAATCTGGTTTCACCATTGGGTTTTTCTACCATTACTACTGGAGAATTCCAAGCCGATTGGGAAGGAGAAACTACCCCCAGGGCTAACATTTTATCTAATTCCTTCTCGAGTGCTAGTTGCTTGATAGGTGATAAGGGATAATAACGCTGTTTAATCGGACTATGGTTACCAGTGTCTATTTTATGGTGTTCCAATGAAGTTCTACCAAGACCAACCTTTTCTGTGTTAATTAAGTCAAATTTATCAATTATTTTATTAATTATTCGCTTTTGCGCCGTCGTTAAGTTATTGTAATCTTCTAACCCGTTTTTTAATGATATTGAGTTAATAGGATTTTCTGAGTTTAAAGTGATATTACTAAAGCTGGATGACATCAAGTTTTTTGTCAAACCAAAATGGTGCCAAAAATCAATACCTAATATGATTGGTGTAGTAATTTTCGGAACAACATAAAATGTAATTACCTTAAGTATTGAGTTATATTCAATGGGCAGAGACATGTACCCTACGCAATGCAATTCAGTGCTATTAGCGGTTTTTACAATACGCTCTTTATCTAAAGTGTTAAGTTTAAAGCCTAAATTTAGAAAGATGAGGTGCGAGTTTTTGCCGAGTATCGAGCATGACGCTCCAGAGTCAGCAAGTCCTATCGCATCTACATTTAATATTTTAAATTGCAAATAAGGTCTATTGTCAAACTTTTTTTTATGGAAGAGAACTTCACGGTTTTTTAAGTTAATGGGTGACCTTTTTTTACCGTAATTATATGTGAAGTTCCCACTTTTTAGTTTTTTGAATTATTACTTGGATTACATTGTGGGCACTCAGGTCGTCTTACGCCCTTTTTACCACACTTAAAACAAAGAATTGCTCTCGAATTTACACACTCTCTAGTGAAATGCTCTCGACTCTGACATCTCATACACCTCCTATCATTTGAGACATTTTGAGGTAAAGTTACGGTTGAGATCTGACGGGTTGGTTTGAAATTATTTTTTATTCTTCGTGACTGAAGGTCATTTGAAATAAATAATTTATTCAAATTGGGTTCCGTAAATTTCTCTGCACGGACTTGAGCCAATTCCAAGCGCTTTCCTAATTGTTTTAACGTGAGAATAGAATCAACGTTATGAAGAGCCAACTCTTTCATATATTCCGGACGAATATTATGCATTAAAATTTCTAGCTGTTCTTCTAATGACATGGGAATAGACAATCTCGCAAACATTCCTTGCATCGTGGAGATATAGCTCACAATTGACTCTTGTCTAGCTTGTGTGCGTTGTCTAATTTCGTTTTTAAGTCGATATTCTAAATCCGGAATATCAAAATCCTCTCTTAAGTGTAACAATAGATCAGAATATGAGTTAAAGTTTGCTTTGTTACTTCTAAACCACGCCAATGCAGAATCTTCTAAGAGATCGGAAAATGCTGTCAGCATACGAGATTGCGGAATCTCGCGGGCCTGTCTAAGTTCCTCTAACCTCTCAATAAAACTTCTAACGCAACCCGAACCATTATATTTTAAATTGAGTGAATTTAAGTTAATTGGTTTTTCTTTAATGACGATTAATTCCTCACTTCCATTCTTTTCATTCATCATTGCTTTCGAGATAGGCAACACATATTCATCCGTCTCTTGTTCCCTCACATCCTTCATGCCGGTTTTACTACACTTGGGAGTACCTTCCTTATCACTTAATTCGTCTGAACTACTTTCATCTTCCTGTTCTACCTGAGCCAAGATACGTATGAGCCTGTGGCGCAAATCCACAAGAGAAGCATTGTCAACCTCCAATCGAGCAAGTCTATCGATTAGATAATTAGCCCTAACTGACACACGTAAGTGGAGATTACTGTCCTTTCCGAGGTCACCTGATGACAGCAGATCCTCTAGCTCAGCAATTTTCGGCGTACATGCCTTGAGCTCGCTTGCCGGGAGTGGTGTGATCACTGGAGCACACTTGATGCTGCCACGTCTCTTCAGCTTGAAAATTTGGCGAAGCTGCTTTCTCAGTGCATCCACCGATGTGTCAGGAGCTGTGGAAATGCCAAGAATATCCAATTCATATATGATTTCATCCTTTCTTAAGTAGTTTACATATTTTTGTATAGAGAGCATTTTCTCAGATTTTTTCAAGTTAAAGTCAGTTATTTCTGTTACTAAGTTAATTATTAAGTTAATTATTAAATTACGTTTAATCAAGTTTTTAAATCAAGCTACTTATTCAAGTTATTTAATCTAAGAAAGTTAAATACAAAGGAATTTATAAAATTTTTTTTTTTTTTTGAAGGAGGGTACTTTTATTATTACAAGTTTCAATTCTTAAAGACTATCTTGTTCACTGTTCAAGGTCAATTTTTTACGCATCCAATCAATACGAAAGTGTTATTGTAGTATAAGTTGATTAATTCTAATGTGCTAAGTTAATTAATGCTAGTGTGTTTTTCAGACTGGTTGGGGATTTAAGCATCTATGTTTCCACCTACCTTTTTTATCATCATTTAGACACACTAGTATTCCAAAAGTATTGTTTATTAAAGTTTTTTTAAGTTATTAAGTAATTTACTTCTAATGTGCTATTCAGACTGATTGGGGATTTTAAGCATTAAATTTTTCCACCAATCTTTTTATCATCATATTAACACATTAGTACAAATTCTGAATATTAATGATTTTTAAGTTAAATTTTTTTTTGATTAGATGTTAAATTCTAGTGTGCCGTTCAGACTGATTGGGGATTTAAGCATTTATTTTTCCGCCAACCTTTTTATCATCATATCAGCACACCAGTATTTCCCTCAAATACAGTATTTTATTGCTCGGCCCTAAAGTTGGTCGCCATTTTGTAACAATTTTAGTTACCACCGACTATTTCAGGGCTTACATGAGACTCGAAACTTATTTAATTTAAAATCAGGGCGCCGTGATACTGTGATTTGAGGGAGATAAATGAAAATGTCTAAAACCGCAGTGAACAAGATATTATATTGTTAAAAAGATTCAGATCTTATCTCATCATGGTTAAAACTTAATACTAGTCACATTCAAGTTAAAAATACATAGTTATATTTCTTCAAAGATTTTTCTTTTGATTTAAAGCTATTCAAACATTCAAGATCATGTGCTAATACAGTAATACTCAATTTAAGTTTCTTATATAAACAAATTATTAAACAAGTTATAAAATACTAAGTTTTAAAAATTTAACAATAAAAATTTGTTATGTACTTATAATGGCTTTACAGTTTACCAATAGAAATCCTTTATCACGTTAAACAGAAATTGTTCTCCGGAGTATGCACTGGTTAAATATCAAGAAGTTATAAGTTTTACTTAGCTTGGCAAGATCATGGGAGCATCAGGATGACTCAAATGTCCTCGGGGATGAAGCAGGACTTGCTGTCATCACGTGAACCCGTCACTTTTTGCTCAAGAAAGCTTCACAGGCTCATATATATATTTTTCCAAGGAGATTCCAGTCAGGATCAAGTAATTGTGATTATTATTGTTATTAATTAGCCAAATTAATGGACCTAGAACCAATTACATATTTTTCTTTAATTCAATAAAAAAAACTAACTGGACCTACAGCCTAACGAATCAAATGTATTGAACTTACCCGTTAATCCGGGGAGAAATATTAAGTATATAATGCACTGACTACCACTGCTAGTCTTAATGCTATTTTCTAAGTATGGTCTTCAAGGTTCTATCAGCCAAAAGAGAGCGAATCTGTTTGTGCACTGCTATTTATAGGCTACTACAACACGTGACAGCGTCATTGCAAATTTCTCTCATATCACCATATTTGGTATGAGGAAGCACACGGACCGGTTTTGCTGACTCCGCCTTTCAATGTTTCCAGAACATTAATGTGACGTCACATCCATTTCCGCATCTCATTTAAAAAATTTACACACTAGCTCCCTCTAACTTACATTCCAAATGCAACTACTAGGTTCACACATATATTGTACTTGTCCTTTGCTTTTCAAAGTGGATTTCGATATTGAATAATTTATATGCATGATGATAGATGGCGCTGAATAAATAATAATATTTCTACGACTTAATATTTAAGAATTATATTACTAAGTTTTTAACGTTATTAAATTTAATTGCTACAGTTTGTTTTGGAATATTAAGAGTTTAAATTGTTCGCGTGAAAAAATATTATAACAGTAATCAATCAGAAAAAACTAAGTGCCAACCCGCAAGCGCCACTTAATAATTTCGAACATGAAAATCATAATTTTTCATGAGCTCGTTGATAGGTTTTCGCGCCGGCCGCGGTTTCCCGTCGCCCCGCGGCCTAATTACCGCCGCCTCACGATACGTCACCGCGATGATTCAAAAAAATCCACCCATCCTTCTCCCACTCCCCTGCTGCGGTGACGGCGTCCCACTCCGGCGAGCATTTTTATAAAAACGCAGAGACCGACCGCGGCCGTCCCGCTCGTTCCCGCCGCAATACCGCGTCACACTCCACCCTTCGTCTCCTTCCCACTTTTTACGAGACGTAGGGGCCGCCACCCGGGTGGGGGCGGCGACCGCGCGAACGCAAAATATTGACCATCGGAAAAAGTCGCGTCGTATCACAGTCACCAGTCGAAACCGAGTCCTCGCGAGCACGCGTCTCTTCGCGACGACTTCGTTGAGCGTCGTGAGTCTTCGGCTTGCGGTCTCGGCGAGTCACACGGCCGCCCGTATTTTTCCCGAGTCCCCCGCCCGGCGTCTTGTTCCGCGCCCAACAAGTGGTGTAGACGCTCGCCTGCGGCTCACACGGCATCTCGCGTCCGTACTTCGCACAACTTTCCCGGTTTCTCGCCGCGAGTTTGGAATCGAATCGCGCGCTTCAAACTTTTGCCGGCGTGCGTAAGGACTAAAGTGGCGTGACACAGGACTTCAGTGGCGTGTTGAGAGTCAGTGCGGTGTTTGTCAAGGGTAGTCTGGAGTCGATGCACCTACCGCACGCTAGCCCTCCGGCCCCAAGTATGGCGGATGTGTATTCTCATATCCATGACTACTACCGGCAAAGTCACGGGGAGCTTGTGCAGACGGGTTCTCCAGCTGTGCTTTGCTCGGCGCTTCCAGGACACTGGCGGTCTAACAAGTCGCTGCCGGTGGCCTTCAAAGTGGTCGCCTTAGACGATGTTCAAGACGGAACCCTGGTCACAATTAAAGCTGGTAACGATGAGAACGTCATGGCGGAACTAAGAAACTGCACGGCGGTGATGAAGAACCAGGTGGCAAAGTTCAATGACCTGCGATTCGTCGGTCGCAGCGGGCGAGGAAAATCTTTCTCCTTGACCATCACCATTAGCTCGTTCCCAAGCCAAGTAGCCACATACACCAAAGCAATTAAAGTGACTGTGGATGGACCAAGAGAACCAAGGACTAAGCAAAGTAAGTACAGTAACTGTCTCCAGTATTTATTAATTATTATTATTCTGTAAGCTTTAAAAGATAACTGAATTTACTAATTTATTTTTATTTTTTTATTAATTATCTCCGCCATTTCTAAGGCCAGCACTGGGAACATTTAACCTGTTTGACAATGAATATATATATTTTTTTCGAATTATGAGATCATTTAAAACGTTTTTGTATTATCACGGATACTTTGCATTTTTACACAAATTATATTGCAAAAATATGAGAAAATAGTTAAATACAAAAAATGCTAGTAGTAGTAGCTTTTATTTACAAGGGGTAACTTCAGGTCAAACTTTGCACGCAAATGAAAAATACTAAAGTATCACCATCAATATGCTTGAAATAAAACAGTTGACAATAAAAGAGTATTATTCTGGTAATTTAAATGCGATCAATTCATATTGTGCGCTTGCGCCGTCTGGCTCGCAGCCAGGCCAGTTGATTTTGTGGCATGCCAGCATTCAACCGCACACGAAAATCTTATTTCTGAATCCAACAACATTTCAAATATGATAAATCTTCACTCTCACAATACCTATAATATTTTTTTTTTAATAAAATTCGATTCATTGAATTATATGGATGCATCATGATTATTACTGGTATTACAAATATTCGGAACTAATATATACATTGTTTTTTTTTTGTTTTACTATTATTTTGTAACCTATTAGTACAGTTTCCAAGCAAGAACTATGCCACTAATACTAAATATAGCGAAGATGTAGGTGAAATATTTTATGCTCGTGCAAAAGAAAAAACTTAAAATTATAAATTCTAACTCTAAATTAAACGCTAAGTATACCAATACCTACGCTATAAAAAAGGGAACTGAAATTAAGTATTATTTTCACGATCATTGTTTTACAGTCCTCACTTAACTTCGATTAAGAAAAATCATTACAAAGATATCAAATGCAATTAAGTACCGACCTAGAACCGTAAGCCCGTCAGTCCGAAATTAGTCGTAACATCTGCTCCATGCGAGACGGAGACGTGAGAAATATTCAATCACGCAGACAGTAATTGCCTGCTTCGTTTAATCTTAAACTACTCGAAGAATTATCGTTAAAGGCGTCCTCCCTCCGAAAATAACTCCGATTGTCTTTATGAGCAAGGAGTTAAGTGAATTGTGTTGTGACTCGTCCTTATAAATGGTTGTAACTTTTAAATTTACACCGTTTCTGTTTTTGGATACATTCGGGTTGGTGTAAACACGGAAATAAATTAATGTAGTCAGTTTTAATTTGATTTTTTGTACTGGATTTCTTTACATCGTTCATTAAAAGAAAGTATAAAATGATATCAGGGTTTTGTAAATTAAAAGTCCGTCATTTGTACAATTTTGTAATCAGCTTTGAATAGTTACTTCAACAAAAGTGTGCGAATGATAAAGATGGAGGAAGACAAACAGCTTTTGCAATTTCCGATCATAGTGGATTATATCTTGTAATACTTTAGTTTTTACTTTTTATAATAGGAATTCATAATAAATGATGGGTGAAACTAAATTGTATTTAGTCCGTCTGTGAGTTTAATAAAAATAATGGACACTTAGTTTATTTATATGGTACTAACAAAAAACTACAAATATGAAGCGCAACTCAGTTTGACGGCGGGGCACGTGACGTCACTTCTAAGTAAAAATTGTACAACGGCGTCAGGCGACATTTCAAATCAATATACATATCTCTGTTACATTGTGATTATGTGAAAACGGATAAAAACATATCGAATACTTTTTCATAATCTACCTGATAGATGAAGAGAAAACCACTAGTCATCATTCCTATAAAATTAACTAAAAAACTACAGAATAATTAACGAGTTACAGCTAAATACTACAAAATCTTAAGTGTTACATTGAACTAAGTTTTTCATTGAAGTGAAACTTATTTTCGGGTGGATTATAAATGAAAAAAATACTATGGAAAAGATAAAACGTAAATGCGTTATGAGCGTCACACGCGACAATATATATGTATATATGTATACATACATATGAGTGATGCGTGCGCTGCTCCATTCCCCTATACCTTATTACCGTCTAATGTTAGGTTATTTAAAAAAAGAAGTTTCATATCAGATATGTGGTCTTGCACACTATTTTTTTTTTGTTTTAACTAAGTACGCTTTTTGACTTTGCATTCACAATAGCCAAAACACTGCATATCATTAATTTTGAATAACTCATATATAAAAGCAATCACAATACCTACAGGCAATTAACTCACGAAAGTTCGTAATAATTTCATATAACTGTTTTATTTTTGTAACTACAGCACCCACCGAGACCGTCTGTGTAAACAGAGCCAGCCCAAACTTCGGCCAAATAATAAAAAGACAGTATGCGGAAAAACTAACATCCTCGGGCGATAAACATCAAAGACTCGGCTTAATAAAGTGATCAATGGTGAAGACCTAATGGCGGTGCAGGACCAATTATTTTAGAAACAAACAATTACAGCTTTCGATTTAGGGATCCGTGTCCGCGTGATTTGTTTTAAGTACTTCTCGAACGATTTCGGTGAATAATGAAAAAGTTATTAAAATATTTTATTTTTCTACAAAGTTTTATTTACGATTGCAGTAGGTACCTTAATACCCATATAACACTAGTGGGTGTGTCGTGAAAAAGATGGTTTTCCATACAAACAATTCATTTTTATTTTACTCAAAAATTTCTATCGTCCTTTATGTCTTACAATTTTAAAGAAAATTTCAAGGAAATTCCATAAATTTCATCTATTTTTAAAATTAATCTACGCTGCTAAAGCTGCTCACTAAAATTTTTTTTTTTTGTTTTATTGATTCTGTATGTTCTTTCCGATTGACTAATAGAGAATGCCAAGCTGGTATTAAGTCCGCCATATGCAATATAAAGGCATTAAAGATTAAATAAATAAATAAAATAAATTTTTAGGGTCGCGTACCTAAAGAGTAAAAACGGAACGCTATTGCTGTTACTCTGTCGTCGGTCTGTCCGTATGTCATGGATCTCTAGAGTGTAAAAAAGAGTGGTTTTTTATCTAGAAGCCGAATATTTGGTTAATTTTTTTTTTCAACTCAGCATGTGATCCATCATTGCCTGGAGCTCGTTAAAATAGATATAAAAATAATTTCAATTCTATTTTATTTATTTATAAATCGAAACTAGATAAGAATGTAAAATTTTGTATAAGTATGTTGTCCCATATGCTGTATTCTAACAAGAACTACTGAAAATACCGATTCATTATGCATTTTGTATGTTGTGACTAAAAGGAACCATTATAAGACAAAAACAGACAAAAGGTTATTCCTTTCGCAGTTTGTTAAATTGTGATCTACCATCATACAACAGGCGAGATGTTTTTGGCGATTTTTTCTAGATACATATTATAGTATAGTATCTAATGTTGTAAAGACAATAGTACGGAACCCTCCGTGCGCGAGGACGACTCGCACTTGGCCGGTTTTTTTTTACATTTTCACATTGTGCTTTTTGCAGGACACAGTACTTAGCCCTTAACAACATATACAAATGAAAATTAACATAATTCGATCTTTACAATCATACGTTTTAATATAAGCCACTTCCACAGCCAGTGGTTACCAAGTTTCGTGTCCTGGCCACGGGCCGCGTAACAGATGTAAACAATCTCGGCCCGCGTCGTAAAGTCCCGTTTGATCTCCCCGCCCGCCCCGCGGTCGCCTCTAAAATATGGATTTTATGTTCCTTTAGCTGCTAATATACCATATCCATGCCATGCGACCCTCATAACCTCAGTTCGCACCAAGAAGCCAAAATTATCTTACCCTAAACTTTACTGTTGGTCTTGATTTCGTTTAGCAGATTATATTAGGGGATCAAATTTGGCAGATCATTTAAACATAGAATTTCTAATTCTAAGTCTCCATTCTGTCAGTACGCAAACGAAGTAATCTATAAAAAAAAAAATTAACCATCTAAATCACATGTGGTTTCAAAAAACTATTTCACCAATTCATTCTAAGAAAATAAATAGTATATAATAAATAATTTTCTTAGCTTAAAAATATTCTGAAGAATTAAATGATTGCATTTTATTTCTTTAAATAAACAGAGTCGTAAATAACCAAAGCATCTTTGAGCCACAACCGTACACTATTACGACATTACGAATGTGGTGTTTTATATGGGACGCCTTATCGTCAACTATACGACTCATAACTCTGATTCCATTTATTCTACACGCGCCCGTCTCGTCAACATTAATTTACGAGACAAGGCTCGCGTCTCGTCCAAGATATTTAACGCTCGTTTTGACACTTATATGTCGTATCTTTCATACAATTATTGCTCCGGTGGAACCAAATTAAGAATGATTTTTGATTAGACTTCGGCATTTAGGGGCCGTTTTTAAATCAAAATTTGAAATTATTATCTCTAAACTGGAATTTGAATGAGTGTTTAGAAAATCCATAACGTGCAACTTAAATAATGTAATTAGATGGGTTGAGTATACTTAACGTTCATCCGTGTATTGTCTAGGTACTTATGCGGATAGCTACTATCCCCATCACTTTGCGCCTCAACAAAAATATCATGTTTCACTCTTCACCATTAGGTATGTTCTACCTTGTTAATATTCAGAGCCCCGCATATGCATAGGGTCGGGAACTGAATTTAATTGAATACCGGCATTAACAAATGGAGCGGGCCATTTCCGAGTTACACATTTAACTTATTATTGTACCATGATGGCGGAGCGTTCTTCAACGGCATTGCCACACGACAGCGCGACGGGTCATCCATCACGCTCTTAATTTAAAATACCCACGATTTTGGGGAGCACGCCGTACTCGCTAATCTCCCAAAACGAGCTGTTTACGCTTCTCAATTGTTTGATAAACATTCCATTTAGCGATAAAAATGTTCAATCACCAACGAAACAGAACAAAAGACAGCTGCTTCAACATGTTTTATGGGAAAGAGTCAAATATAAAACCTCTTCTGATGAAACTAGCAACTTTGAACGCCATACTATAATAATATTTACCAGGCGAAAACAAAGTACGCGAAGAGCTAATAAAGAGTTTAATCTCGTAATAAAAATGTCGATACTCCTGATCGATTAAGATGAGTCGCGATTGAATTAAGGAATGCAATAAAACCCGAAAATAGACGGCGCGGTGATGGCGTCTTCAGTAGCCTATCGATTAAACAAATAAAAAATCGTTTCGCTGGCTAAAAGGCGAAAGGCAACGTGACGTCGGTGGAGGGTCGTAAAAACGTATGGTTCAGAGGAGCCGGCTGACTGCAGTAGTAAACCGGATCGTTTTGTATACAGACCCCTTGTTATAGTCGCGGTAAACAGAGCTCGGGCCGTGTGTCGCCGCCTTTATGGGTTGCCTTTGTGACTTTAGTGCTTGCGGACGTGGCTCAAGACCGGTGACCTCGCTTCGTCAATCACTTCTTATTGCGAACGATTTGCCCACATTTTATAGTATTGGGCACTTTCTGTCATTCACAAGAAATCGGTTGCCCTAAATAAAATTCCTGTGTTGCTCAAGGTTTTCTCTTTGTTACAGATTATGGTTACGGCCACCCTGGGGCTTTCAGCCCGTTCCTTTTGAACCCGGGATGGTTGGATGCTGCATATCTTAACTACGCGTGGGCAGATTATTTTAGACCACCGCAAATGAGAGATTCTGCAAGCTCTCTAGTCAAAGGTATTTATCGAAACTACTATTTACTTATAAAACTAACTGCATGTATTACTTTTTTGTTTATAGGTATACTTAATTAATAATTGCGACTCACAGCAAGTGATTGCGTGTGCAAATCCTTTGTTGTTCCTAACTAGAGAGAACAACTTAAAACAATTTCGTGGAAACGTCGAGTATAAACACGTACAGCAATCAACGGACAAATTCGGTATTTGTTAATTTAAAAATTCCCGATTTTGCAAGCATTCGGAGAAAAAACATGTTGCTCGCGTTTCGTACGGCGCCCCTCAAGGCCGAACAACGCAAAGCGGCTCAAATAAAAGAAGCACCTCTTGAGCGCTGCAAAACAACACCACCCGACCGAAGCACAACCACCCGGTGAAGTCCGGGTGCCCGGGGGGTGAGAACACAAGTAAAAAGGCCCTGCCTTCACGTTCGAGAGAGTGTGGAGTCAATTTTATTCCAATGCCGGCGACCGCGCCACCAGCTACTTTTTGTTTCCTGGCTGAAACGCGAGCGCCGCGGCGATGTGTTCAATCACCTACAGACTTTTATTAAACCTGCAGCTGTCTTCGTTCCGGCTGTTTAATGAGCATATTGTACTTCTTGATATTACATATTAATATAATTAACAAAATTATAAGTGACAAGGCGAATTACCGAGTTCACGTTGTGATGTAAACTAAGAATAGTATAAACATAAGAGCAATTTGTCCTTATTCTCGTTAACTTTAAGGAAATTAAAAATATCAATGTAATAAATCATAAAAGAACAAGCGCCTGCTTATGAGATCAGCAAACTTAGTTTTGCGAAGTTTTCAAAGGAAACTACCTGCGTCATTATATTTGTAAAGTAAGATTGGGAGATGCTCAAATTATAGTGCATATTATAATTCCATTGCTCGATCTTGTAAATATTTCCCATTCAACGTCAGCCGTATCCACACCCACCGCTAGATGTTCCACATTAAAAGACAATTCCCGTAAAGAAAAGTTTATACAAGGATAAATATTTAAAAAATATATAATTATATTATAAAGCTAATTACTAACACTTGTCTAAGAATTTTAATAGTAACGCGAAAAAGTTTCATAATAATAATTTCTTTTTACGTAATTCATCTATTCTACCTATTTCTAAATTATTAAACAACACGAAATCAAATTTGGAGATCAGGGATCACCTCAATCAGGCGCGGCGTAGATATTGGCCCCCGCCTCACCAAATTACCCCCTAGTTACGTCCCCTCCCACCCTTGCTGCCTTTTAAAGTGGTCTGCGCACTGCCACTGCTGCAAACAGAAAAAGTGCAAAAGAGGTACGAGGGTTGCACCACCTCCGAGCTCTTTGTGGCCCAATCTGCACCTCCATCGTATCTTTTTTATGTGCAGCTTCTCTTACACGCTATCGAGAATCAAAGCTTGCACAGCAAGAACTTTTGAACACTGTTGCTAATGAAAATTTCACGTTACGAGCCCTCTTTGTCCGCCCCGTGCGGAGATAACTCGCGACCTTATCGCGATGGCGCGAGCTTTGGAATACAACGTGTACGTAGCGGCACCTCCACACGCGCCCTGCATCACTAATGCAACGACACACACACCGAAAATGAGACGAGCACTGCCGAATTACGACCTACTCCTGTCTACTACGTAAAGAAAGATAAATAAATATTGCACCCTCACCCCTCGATATTGCACTAAAAAAACATCCCTTTCGGTAAAGCCGCCTTTAAACGCCTACAGATTGTACATTATCCTTAGTACGATTATGCACCCTCGTTGTTCGGGGAATCAGGCGAGTGGCCCTTGCGCCAGGATGTCCCCGAGGACTTGCCTCTCATATTACGTCATGTTAGTGACGAAGATGTCAATATACCGAAGAAAGTTTTGAAGTATTTAAAATATCTCAATTCATTTTTTTTTCATTGTCAACAGGAGCTGCACCTTTAACGACGCCTCCGGTGGTGCTGCCAGGAGCTGATCTTTTCCCGTTCCCGCCGGCAATAACTAACCTTCCACCGGGGGGCCTAATACCGCCGCCTGGTTCCTTCTTGCCCTCCAACGGATTGCTACCTTTCCCACCGCCGCACCCAGCTGAACTAGCGTTAAAAGGGATACCACCTGAGCTTTCACTCAAAAACGGAATCAGTCCGTATGATGCATTGAGACATTTACAAAGTAATATGTCTTCAATGGATACGTCGAGCGCACGTTTGTCACCGACGAGTAGCAGACTAAGTAGTCCAAGGAGTATTACTAATGCTAGTCCGGATCGTTCTAAAGCCGATTCGAAATCTGAAGTTAACTCGGTGCACGAAGCAACAATTTCTGATGAATCTGATGAAGAACCCATTGAAGTCGTGAAGTCAGCATTCCACCCTACTCGACCGGCTAATGTGGAATTGCAAGAGATGAAGCGTGTACAGGCTGCTGACTCAACAGTCTCAGACAGACCGCGTGTGAGAAATGAACTAAAAGCCCCGTCATCAAGAACTACACGTGTTTTGTCCACTAGTCCAACCTCTACCAAAATCTCCAACGGTGATAGATCATCGCACAAAACAGTTTGGCGACCCTACTGACATTTTAGTGTATAGTGTTTAAAATTTACTATCGAGTGCCGTCGTTAAGAGGTATTGTTGAAAAGTGATAAACCAGTTGATCTAGCGTCAAAAGCGACACCATTTGGGCTTTCACTCATAATCGGAGTACACATGATGCATAAAGACAACAAAATACTCGTCTTTTTGGATACGTCGAACGCTCGTGTGTCACCGTCGAGTGGCAGACTAAGCAGTCCAAGGAGTAATGCAGAAAGTAGTCCAATGCAAATCTCGAGCGGTGCGTGACGATATCTTAAGAATCTGATGAAGAACTCATACAAGTATTGAAATCAACATTCTATACTATGCGACAGGCTAATATCCAAATATAATAAATGAAGCGAATACTACTGCTGACTTAATAGTTTCAGACAGACAGTGTGTAAGGAATAAATTACTATTAAAAGCATCGTCATTATGGTCAACTCGTGTTTTGGCCACTAGTCCAACCTTTACCAAAATCGCCAGTGGTAAAAGATCTACGCACAACAGTATTGGCGGCTGTACTGACATTTTAGTGATAGTGTTTAAAATTAGGAATCAAGTGCCGTCGTTGAGCGGTGTTGTTGAAATGTGATAAACCCATGAGCTTGTAAATAGTATAGGTGATTATTGTAAAGATACATTGATTTATAACAGATATTTATTGTTAGAGATATTTAGACCATAGTCAATTTAGAGTACCTATCGATTGCAGTACATTATTATTGTAAATGTTAATAGAATTTGTTATTTTTATTGCAAATGTGTTCAAGCTTGTCGATATTAGACACAAAAGGTTTGTTTAAAATTTGTTTCACGGATCCAGTGAAACGGTATATTTGTAAAATAAAACCATATTCTTCGATGACGACTGACTATTATTAGAAATAATTTAATTAGCTTTAGAAGAAAAAATAAGTAATTAAGATGTAAATATGTAAATTATATTTATTGAAAAAATGTGATGTACTGTATGTACAATAATAAATTAAGTGTTGCAATGCAATGTAAAATGTTACTCTATAAATATGTAAGTAGAAATACAGACATAAGTAAAAAGATGATTCTAAAAATTATCTCTTATTTTATTTGTCGCCCTGCATTTTGGATCATCTATGTATTTCGAGTAATATTTTCACTACAAGTTTGCAGATACTCAATGACATACAAGAGCCAAAAATATGATTTCCACAAGTTTTAAGTAACCGGAGATTCATGGAGTCTTTGTGTTTATCAAAACTGCAAATGATAACAAGAAGTCGTAAAATCTTAAGCGATATGGAACTTTATTCCTCGGTCAAAATAATGCATGTCAATAGCATTTATTATGATAAAGTTTTATACGGAAACATCGAAATTGCACGGCTAATTATCGAACTAAAACTCTTTCCTTTCAAATAATAATAATAATAATAAAAACTCTTTATTTTACACCACAAAAAAAAATATATATAAAACATACATAATGGCTGCTTAAAGTGTAAAAATGGGCGGTCTTATCGCTAAGAGCGATCTCTTCCAGACAACCTTGGGATGGAGAGGACAAGAAAGAAGCTGGAAAGACGGCGGTGTAATTAACTGCAATAATACGCGAGAAAATCTATGTACAAACCGAGTATATAAAACAAATAAACACATATAAATACATAGATATACATAAATACACTCATATATACATAGGTAAATAGATATATATATATATATATATATATATATATAGAGATACCAACACGGTAAATGTTGATCTTTCGAGACGTATGATCAGTTAATTGTTGATCCGAAAACAAATGTTGATCCGGAGGCTTTATGTTGATCCATTACGCTATTTCTCATACTGATGTGGCTCCGATCGGATCAACATTTGGATTTTTTGTCACGTGACTTGGCTGCAAATTACTCTTGTCAAATGTGGCTCCAATATACAAATCCGCTCCGATAAATGTTGATCCGATTCAAACGGACCAATCAGGATGAAGCACTTTATTACTTCCACCGTGATTGGCCCATGGAGGTCAATACAACGTTGCCGTTCCGCTTACTACAGTAGTTGGTCCATTGAGAATCGAAAATTTAACTTTTAATCTGTGCGTGTGCGTAATTGAACTACTCCGAAACGGCTCGACTGATTTTCGTGACATTTTATATGCATATTCAGTAGGTCTGAAAATCGGACAACATCTTTTTTTCATTCCCATAAATGTCAAGAGTTTTTTAAGGTCCACCCTTAAATATTTTTTTGTTTTTATTTTTTTATGATACATCATACAAAAATACATACAACCCTAAATTTTCGCCCTTCTACCACCAACCCCTTTTTTATGGCGGTACGTTCGCTGGGACAGCTAGCCTAATATATAAAATTCTCGTGTCACAGTTTGCGTAATTAAACTACTCCTAAACGGCTCGACCGATTTTCGTGAAATTTTATATGCATATTCAGTAGGTCTGAGAGTCAGACAAAATCTATTTTTCATCTCTCTAAATGTTAAGGATGGTCCACTCTTAAATATATTTTTTGTTTTTGGACATTTTTTTTTTATTTTTATATTTTTATGATACATCATACAAAAATACATACAACCCTAAATTTTCACCCTTTTACCACCAACCCCTATTTTTTATGGCGGGACGATATTCGCTGAGACAGCTAGTTTAAATATAAGAACGCTTTCGTTTGAATTGAGTTTAAATGAGGTCAGTTATTACATGAGTAGGATTTGACTGACAAAGAGACAGGACGCCATGGAATGCCTCAGAGGGAAGATAAAGGCTCCCGGCCCAACCGGCGTCCGAAGAAGGCGGTCCACCATAGACGCGATACTCAGACTAAAGCGGCTATCCCAACAGACATTTAGCAGAGGGGAGGTTGTCATAGCGATATCGCTTGACATAGCAAACGCATTTAGCACCCTTCCCTACAGCTGTATTAGGAAGTCCCTCTACCACCATCGGCTCCCCACATATTTGATGGTCATAATGGAGCACTATCTCCAAGACAGAGAAGTGCTCTATACAGATTCTATTCGGCGCGCAGTTGTTCGCAATACGACGTACGTGGTTCCATAGGGGTCGGTCCTCGGACCGCTCCTGTGGAACGTGGGTTTTGATTGGGCGATTCGCGGAGATTTGCTGCCCCATAAAGGGGTTATCTGCTATGCAGACGACACTCTGGTCACCATACGCGGCAATAATTATGCTGTGTGCATAATTATTGCCCCGTATGGTGACCCATCAGGTTCGCCAGAGCAGGAGTAACATCCACATTCAAGTGGACGAGGTAAAGGTTCCATTAAAACCCTCAATCAAGTACCTTGGGGCTCTGGCTTGACTCTTACTGGAAGGTAGTGAGCACTTCCGGCGCCTGGGCCCCAAGCTAGAGGGAGCGGCAGCTGCCCTAAGCAGACTTGTGCCCAACTTGGGAGGATCTAATGCCACCTGTCGAAGGCTATATGTGGGTGTCCTCCACAATATGGCCCTGTATGGTGTGCCGTTCTGGGTGGACGCCCTTAACACAGAGAATAGAGCTATGCTGCGAACCGTGAGAACCGTGGCCAATTGCGCAGTTGATGGCTCTCGAATGATCGCCTGGGCTGTAACATGCATCCTAGCCGCCAACCCGTCTTGGAAGCTAGATGCTTAGATCTTGACGGTTGTTTACAATGAGCGCGCCGACCCCAAGGAGCGAGGTGAACGACCCGCCATTGAGGCTCTGGTGAGGACAGGAAGAGATGCGTCCGGGCATAGCTGCTTTGGAAATTACCTGCACATGACGCGAAGGAAGGCGACCCCGTCGTGTCATGAGGGCGGCGCTACTGAGGCACTGCGCAGCTTACTCTAGAGGTGCGAAGCGCGTAGGTCAGCGGTGTGACACCCTAACGACGACTCTCTGCCTAGTCAAGTCAACGCTATGCTGAGTGGCGACAGGTCTTGGCGTGCCGTGGTCTCCTTTTGTGAGGACGTCATCTCGCAAAAGGAGGCAACGGAGAGGGCTCACGAGGTGGACGCTAGAGCTGACCCCTTGCGCCATCGGAGCGAAAGAAGGAGAAGATGCCTGTATGCGCGGTACCCTCCATAGGTAGTTGGCACATACTAAGTTCTCTCAATTCCTGTGTATGACCGAATCGAGGTTGAGTGCGCGTGGCCTGCCCCGAGTGGCGCCTCCGCCCGGCCCTCCACGACCCAACCTGACTCTGTGCATCCCTGCGCCCCCGGCGCCCTGTGTCTCACGCTCCTCTCCGAGCGAGAGGGGTTCGGGCGGCTCGACGGTGCTGGGAACAGGAGACCTCGAGAACTTACCCCCCTTACAGGGAAGAATGAGCCAGTTAAGGTTGACCGACGCTCGATATGTCAAGTTACAGTGCTTCAAATTCATTGCTCCAGTTTCATTTATTGAATTTCATTTTCTGGTATAATGTTTTGGATGACCATTTTTCAGAATGTCGTAAATAAATCGATTCTCTACCGAATCTACTAAACTATACCGATCTTCTACTGAAATTATTACTAAATCATCAAAATCATAAATCATTTATTCAGTCTAGGCTGTTAGAAGCACTTGTGAAGGTCAAGAAGCTACGCCATCGGTTCGCAAAACTACGGCGGGAGACCTTGTACTTAGATGAACCGGCAAGAAACTCAGCAAGGGCTGTTTTTTTCTCCCTGTATTGTTATATACAGAATCGTCAAGTTAAAAAATTACTTCAAAGCTACTTCTGAAGTCGCCTTTCCATTACATCATTTAGGATCTATATCCTAAATGACTATAACAATAAATTTTTTAATTAACTTTATATTTAGTATATAGGAAGCGGCATTAGATAGGCACCATATTACTGTTATGAAAAATTACTAATACCCATCAAATTACAAGAAACACTATGTCCATGCATTACGAGCATTTCGATAATCATCAACTTTATAATAGCCCTTATTTATAACATTATTCTTGATCTGAGATTTAAATTTGGTCAGTGGAAGCTCAATTAGATCTTGGGGAACTTTTTTAAGCAGTGCAATACTACAACCCAGAAATAAACCTCTTGATTTTGGAGTCTGAAACATGGAACGGCAAGCTTCTTCTTAAATCTCCAGTTAAAGTTATGGGTTTGACTTTTTTTTGCAAATGCCTCATAGTTTTTTCTTATATTACCTACACTAATATTATAAAGGCGAAAATTTGTGTGTGTGTATGTTTGTTACTTCTTCACGTATAAACGCCTGGAGCGATGTTAATAAAATTTGGTATGGAGTTCGCTGAATTGGATTACCACATAAGCTACGTTTCACTGCGGAATAAAATCCCTAATAAACCGCGGGTAACACCGCGGGGCACAGCTAGTATATTATACATATTTTTATAAATGTGTTGCGATGCCAGTGTTAAAATATTAATTTGTTTAAAATTTTCCCTAAGAGATTCTCTTGCTTTTAAGTTGTATATGGCGCGAAGAGCTAGCCCTCTTTTGCAGTATGAAAATACTTTCGATATTGGCAGCTGAGCCCCACAAGAAAAGGCCATGACATAACATCGTTCTCTTTGCCTCAAATTTACTAAAAAAGTAGAAATCTATTAGAAGTGCTTATGCTGGACTCGTGTAAAACACATCTCTACAATTCAAAATGCAGAAATACTCGACAGAATGTTGTCTCACGTTCACTTTTAATGGAACGTATGCTTGCTTCATTTGTCCAATAGCGCGACGTTGCCGTACTCTTCATATTCAACTATGGAGCCACATTTACCACTAAAAGTCGGATATAAATCGGAGCCACATTTTGCGCTTGCATATCATTTTTTTGACCGTTATTGGATCAACAAAAACCTTAAAATTTTATGACGAGTAAATTGAAAACGGGTAAGAGCACATCCACTGATGTCAGACGCTGAATTCATATATTCGATCTATACAGCCGTATCTGAATCCAGAGCTGAATGTACACACGAAATAGGTGGATCAACATTTGTTCTAAATCAGTACTGGATCAACATTTACCGTGAAAGGTTGATTATATATATATATATATATATATATATATATATATATATACATACTAAAAATACATA